GTGTCTTTGGAGCCTGACAGTTATCTTGGTAAGAATATTACTCTGACAACTAACACATAAACATGTGATCATGTAGTATATACATAGCTGTACTGTAATTCTTTCCCCCAATCAGTTTGGAAAATAGACAACATATAAAGGATGAGTAAGGATTCCAAAGGCTGAGGAAGAGTATGCTTTAATTAGGTGTTTAATGTTAGTCATGTTGTTTTTGATTGTGCTTTATGTCACATAAAATATGAAATACCACAAATGACAGCATTTCAAGAAAAAACATCTTCCATGCACCTTAAATGTTAATGAAAATATTTATAAATTCTCTGTATGACTATATTTGACTATTTTTTACTATTTTAACTGAAGACTGCTTGACTATTAAATTCTAGGTTACTCCATGGCAATTGCTAAATCCTGGAGTGGCTCAGTGACAGTTGTTGGTGCTCCAAGATATAAACACAGAGGAGCTGTGTTTGCTGTTAACAGAGATAGCTTTAGAAATCAAAAGATTGAGCCCTTTCCATGGCAGGTACGTATGTACAGTATAAAGTGATAGACCTGAATGACAATGTAAAATATATTTAGACTATATATAAACAAAACTGTACTATTTTCATTTATCTGATTCTTTTCATTTAATAATTTGTTCCTTACACAGTATCAGACTGGTGAATATTTCGGGGCAGAGGTGTGTACCATGGACATAAATAATGATGACATCACTGAGCTAATCTTCATATCAGCCCCAATGTACATGGAGCCTGATAGAGAGGGAAGAGTTTATGTTTGCAGACTAACTGGTTTGGTAAATCAAAGTTTTATCTACTGCAGTTAAATTAATCGGTTTATTTGTCAACTTTCTTAATGTTCATAAAATATTCACTCTCCTCATTTTAGTTTGTGGAGTGTAATTTTGATGATCCATTAGTACTAAGAGGACGTGCAGCTGTCAAAGGAAGGTTCGGCTCTTCTCTTGCTGTGCTGCCTGATCTAAACTCAGATGGATTCAGGGATTTGGCAGTTGGAGCACCTTTGGAGAAGGATGGTGAAGGCAGCATCTACATATTTAATGGCGAAGGAGGAGGAAGAATCAGTCTTACTTACTCACAGGTACACAGCATCAAAGAACTCACGAGGATGACTAAACTAATCTGTAATGTAAAGTCATTTTCTGCAGTTTGAATATCGAATTTTTTCATCTACACAGAGAATTACTGGCTCTGAGGTCCAGTCAGGACTGAAGTTCTTTGGCCTGTCAATCAGTCAGTCGTCTTTTGACCACAGTTTTGACGGACTGCCTGACTTAGCGGTGGGCTCAAAAGGCAAAGTTGTTTTATTGAGGTAAGTCCAAGACAGTCCAATCATGCATTATTACTGTCCATGTTTAATTCTAGTAACTATTTCTGTTAAATAAAAAAAATGAATGCCCCACTGGTTAAAAGTTTAGAATGAATTCCATAATAATTTTTTAAATTATTACAATAATTTATGCTATTTCTAGACACTTTCATATAAACTATTAGATAAAAACAAATTATCTTTACTTTCAAAAATGATTTTGCATGATCAAAAACTTTTAAGCAGTAGTGGTTTGTAAAAAATGCAGTGTGGTATTTTCCTGTGATGTTCATTTGCAGATCAAGACCCATAGTAATGGTGAAAGCTGAGGTGTCATTCAACCCAAACCAAATCCCTACTCAGAATGAAGGCTGTTCAAAACCATTGGAGAACACAGCTACAGTCTGCTTCACCATGAGCAGAGTGTCTGCAGTCAACACAGGTTCATCATTCTACTCTACATCATTCAACAACAAAGCCACTGCCCATCATTTGTAGCACTGAATCCAAAGTGTGTTTTATTCCAGCTCAAGCAGTGATTAATTATACTATAACACTGGATGCCACACGTAAACCTCCAAACAACCGAGCTTATGTCAGTGGGAAACAACAAGAACGATCTGGATCAGTAATTGTGGTCTTAAGAAGACAACAGTGTTCAACTCTAAAGTTACTTATTGAGGTAAAAATC